CATTTCATTCGAGCAGCAGTTCTTGATAAAAATAGTCTTCTCTTACCTAACGGTACGGAGATGAAACCGCAGTCTCGCCCAACGGTTTGCACCACGTGTCCGGTCGCCAATCTTACCCACGACCCATTTCCGAGTCATTTTCCTGGCTCCACTCATTATAAACTGATGCAGAAAGTCTATAGCGATATTCTCAACCTACCTGAAGCAGGACCTAAAGAGGAGCAGTACGTGATTACCTTCATCGAAGCATCTACTCACTACGTTTGGACAGCCAACCTTCCTGCTCGATACCTCGCCCATTCGGTCTTCGTCGCATGGCTCGCTGTCGCTGAAAGAGAGTCTGGAGCGAAACTGCAAGAATTCCAGAGTGATGGCGCAGGGGAGTACACGAGCAACGCTTTCACAAACTACCTCCAAACCCTCGGCATCAAACGGCATAAAAATATGCTAACCCTCGACTACGAATTAACTTTTGCTCCTATCGGCCGACATACACTGGCGGAAACAATTGTCCACATGTTTAGCATATTTTTACATTTTGACTAGCTGTACGCTATAAACATTAAGCCTTAATTCATGGTGGCTATACACGTAGAGAGGAGCAGTTAGAGCACTCACTCAAATCTCCTAAGACCAGAGTAGTATATTTCATGGTCCCTCAAGACGACAACATTTAATAACAGCACATCCGGACAATTTGTACCGGGGACAGGCAGCAAACTAGTTACCAGCAAAACTAGTACCTAGTCAACCGACACTTGGCCTTGATCACCACCTACACCCTCCTAGGCATGTTATCTACGAGGTTAGTGCAAACCTTTACAGGGATCTTATCGCACTCTTCCTGGACCCACGCTTTTGCACTAGGGGGTGAGCACTAGGAAAATCGCGAAGTATTTGAACGTATGCAAGAGTACTGTACACGATTTCATGTTGAATGTTATCTCTAAGACTAGCCATGCTGAGGTGTGGCCAAAGATGCCATTAGTCTATTGGTCTCGTCTTATCATGGATCGTCTTCATCGTACCGTTGTAGGTAAAATTTACGAGCAGAGTGGCGAAAAATTGCGTATCTGCCACGAAACTTAGGGTAACATAGCACGGTTGATAGTGCATCCTTGCACTATTAGAATCACGCTAGGATCCGTAGGTCTCTGAGCGGTGCAGCTGTCGAAGTAGTCGTGACTGGTGAGGAAAAATATCCGGGTTCAGGGCTGTAGTTGGAGGACGAAACTGTACAACACACCCGAAAACTCGTAAACGTTTTGTGCTTCCAACTGTACGTGTCCACTGCAGGTGCGGAGAGGAAAACTCGGGCAGGGACGTTGAAGAAAGAAGATTGTGTAACAGCACGGCGTGGTCCATCGCATATGGCCAAAAACGCGGTGGAAGGGCTGCCTGCGTCAGTAGAGCACGCATCTTCTCCTGCAGAGTTCTGTTCATCCTTTCTGCTACCCCCATCTGTTGGTGTGCATGCGGTAGTGTCTGCTTCCGTTTGATGCCGAGTGTCCGAAGGTATTCTGTGAATGTGTTGCTGGTATACTCCCCTGCACCGTCGCTCTGGAATTCTTGCAGTTTTACGCCAGACTCTCGTTCAGCGACTGCGAGCCACGCGACGAAGACGGAGTGCGCGAGATAACGAACTGGAAGGTTTGCTGTCCAGACATAGCGTGTAGACGCTTCGATGAATGTTATCACATACTTCTCATCTTTAGGTCCTGCTTCAGGTAAGTTTAGTATGTCACTGTAGACTTTCTGCATCAGTTTATAACGTGTTGAGCCAGGAAAATGACTTGGAAACGGATCGTGGGTAAGGTTGGCAACCGGACAAGTGGTGCAAACCGTCGGTCGAGATTGCGGCTTCATCTCCGTGCCATCAGGTAAAAGTAGACTATTCTTATCAAGAATTGTTGCTCGGATTGAATGATTAAGTATCCCTTGTGATGGATGTCCTAACCGCTGATGCCATATATCTTCTATGGCTTTGTGTCCTGATGATCGCATGTAGAAATCGAAGTTAGTATAAAAGGAAAAAAGATGAAAGGAGAAATTGCTGGTGACTTGTCAAGCTCTCCTTCGACGAAACGGGTAAGAGGTAAAGTGACATTTGAAGGTGCTGATGTAGTTGCGAGTACAACTTTTGACTCTGCTTCTGTTGATGTCGTGGCAGGTGTTGCGGCGACAGCTACTGTTGGACTCGGCTGCTCAGCTACTTCTTCCTGTTCGGCTTCTTCAACGACGGCAGGTTCATCAGCTGCTAGTCCACTAATCTCTCTCCCAAAGTGGTGCTGGAGTTCCTTGGAAGGCTGCACGGGTATTATAAAACGTTCGCCACTCGGTGGCACTTTCATCGGCGGTATTGAACTCCCAGGTATCCAATGCGGTAAGTACGGCGGCTGCAGTTCGTGAAGCCGTTGGTACAGTAGTTGCTCGAAAGTCAATATCCACGTGTTTATAATCTGTTTCTTCTGGGTGATCCCAGGGACCAAGTGCAAGCACGCGTTCAGAATCTCCAAAAGTTCCCTGTGCTGTGAACTGAAGAACAGACATGCCATGTTGAGTGGCGGCACGACCAAGGTAAGTATTTGTTGAACTGTGCCAGAGCTCCTGATCCATCGTCTCACAATTGCCCTGTATGCGAATTTTGTGTGCCAGGAGTTGAGCTGTGGAAAGAAGATTGAAGCCAAGACCAGCGACGATAAGGACATTAGTAACATGTAGTGAGTATCCTGTGTCGACAGATTCGAGCATTACGCTCCCAACTGAACGTGCCATAATCGTTTGTCCGTTTGCAACTGTTACAGGCATCGGACGACGAAGTGGACGCTGGTTGGTGATGAAGCTTGTTTCTGCGGAGCACATGTGCCAACCGCAGCAGCTGTCGAGATACCAGGTATTCGGACCTGAAATTATGCGAGCACGATTAGCGTAAACTTGATGTAAAGGAATGCCTTCAGCACTTGTTGTTTCTTCAAGTCGTGTCTCGAAATCTGTTTCTGAAACATCAACTGTGGTGACGCAAAGACCCCTTTTCCTGATGTGGCAGATGCGAAGACCGGCGGGCGATGCTGCGATGTCGATGGATTATGGGGCGGTTTCGGCATCTGCTGCTGCTGTGACGTTAACTGCTGCTATGGCTGTTGTGTCTTCGGTAACTGCTGCGATCGGTAACGGCTGTGAAGTGCTGCGACGATTTTGATGACGGCTGTGACAGTTTTGGTAAGTATGTCCTGGTTTCTTACAGAAATGGCAAAATGGATATTTTGGTGGATGTCGATGCTGTGTTTCTGGATTGGAGTAAAAACTCAAGTGTAGTCCCTTTTTCTGATTGCATTGTGACTGCAGGTCAAGATCTTGCTGCTCTACTTGAAGATAAAAAGAAATTTCGGCTTCGGAAAGGTTGGGATTCATGCGCAGGAAGGCGCGCGTTTGTCGCCATTCGGGTCCAAGACCATCCAGAAGGACAGTGAGATACATCTCACGAGGGAAGTATCCCCCGCTCTTCTCCAGTTGGTCACGTAGTGTACGGACGCGGTTAACGTAGTCCATGACGTTTTCATTTGTCATCATCTGCACACTTGTCAGCTGCGAAAGTATTTTACTCACTGTTATTGTATCCTTTGCCATGTATACCGCTTTCAGATGGTTCCATGCAGTTTCGGCTGGTGTAAAACTCGAGTGAAATGATCGAACGCCGAGCTGCTCTTTCGGCGACAAGTTCCGTACAAGATCTGTATGCGCCCCGAGGGAGGCGTGCAAGAAACTCTGCTGCTCCAGTTGTGTTCCCACGACAGGGTACGTGAACTTGCCAGTGAAGAACAGCCACAACCCAGCGGACTGCGCCAGAAGCTCAAACTCAAAGCTCCAGGAGTTGAAGTCAACTCCGTTAAAAGGTATGGTCGTTTTGATCTGAGTATTGTTAAGTAAATTTGGAGGCTGAAAAACAATGCCTGGCTGCTGCTGTTGTTGATGTTGCTGTTGTTGCTGTTGCTGTTGCTGTTGCTGTTGTTGCTGTTGCTGAACTTGCTGTGGCTGCTGATACTGCTGTTGTTGTTGCTGAGCAGGAGGACGACCGAAGATATAAAAGGGATGCTGAAACTGCTGCGACTACGGCTGCTGCACAAAAGGTGAGAAAGCAAATGAACCAGTACTTGGAGCTGTGGCTCCACGCATGTGACTCGAGCCGTCGAGGCTCATTCCACTGAACGCTGAAGAAATCGATTGCGTTGAAACTGGTGGATGTACTGACGCTTGTTGCTGTGCTGTTGTCTGCGATTGTTGTTGTTGTGCTGCAGGTGCAGTCGATGGAGCACCTGGAGTATTGACAGAAGGCGGATTCTGCTGTTGCATACCGATATTAGCATAGGCTGGTGGAAATGGCCCAGAGGCTGAGAGACCAACGGCGGTAGTTGATGCATGTGCTCCAGTAGTTCCGGTAACTGATCCGGCAGATGGTGCTGGTGATGAACCAGTCATAGTTGACGATAGTCTTAATTCCAGATAGCTCTCATACCATGAAATAAATCGTCTGGTGTTGTAGTAGACTAAGTATAAAACTATAAACAAGAACACTTGGCAAATCCTCAAGTGTTGGTCCAGGATCTTTGCTGGAATGGTAGACTAGTAAGACAGCGGAAGTCTTGTAAAAATGTAAAGGTCAAGGTTGAATAACCTGAGTACGTGAACTTGTGAGTAATCAAAGTTAATAATGAAAAGACCTAACAGATATTTATAGTTCTAGGAAAAATACCTATTCGCTAATGTACTTGTTCGTCACTATCGCGCTATGCGCCCTAAATGACAATGAAGAGGTGCGACTGTTCGCGTGACTGAAACGACTGTCCTATGACGAGCGCTATTTGCTGACGTCATCCTACGGACTTATCTTCTACAGTATGATTCGACACTAACTACACTTAATCAACTTACAGGAATGCTAAGTATCAATTATATCACAACACAACACACTTGGGCAGTTCATAATCTTGCCTAATACGATGCATAATATTTTCCATTAATTTGATTAGACCTATTATGTTAGTGTATGGGGGCTACAGTTTTGGTGAGGGTAGTTCGCTTGAGAAATCGGCAATAGAGTGGCCAGGATAGTGCGGCACCATCAGCTACGATATGCTGATGGTTAGGTGAGGACAATAGCTGCGTTGCTGGAGTAGCTGCATTGCTGGAGTATAGGCAATATGGTGTGCTTCCTACACCACCGCAACAATGGTGAAGGCCACAGCCAGGATGTAGGCTGAGAAAGTGAGTGCGCCTGGTGACCACCCTGCACAAAACGATTTAAGAAGACAAGGGATAGATGGAGAGATGAATGAAGTGATTACAGCTCAGATCAACATGCGACTATCTAGGCAAGAGAGGCACCAGCATGGTACCCTAAAGAGGGGAACGGCGAACGAAATATAACGTGCAAATCGCAGGCACCATTGTAGACCATAGAAATACGCAGCCTTCATGCAGCTAGGAAGAACAGGGGGGGAGAGAGAGGCGGGGGGGGGGGGGAAACTAGTGGAGGGCATAAAGGGAGAGAAAAGGAGACAAGAAAGTATCCGCGCTCAGTGCATCCGCATGCACATCCCCATGCTCACCAGCAGCTGCAGCCTTGATTTGCGATCCGCTGGCAGGCGGTGATCCAGCTGTCGCTGCTGGCAAACCACTCGCCGTACCCCTGCCCTCGCTTTCCATGCTGCTGCTACTGCTGTTAGACCCGCCAGCAACAGCACCAGCACTACTAGCCCCTGCACTGCCACCAGCACCACCAGCTTCCCCATTAGATTGCCCATCAGAAGCGCCACCAGCAGTCCCTTTCACGGTGCCATGGCCTCCGCCACAAAGGGACGCATTTGGCACGATAAACACAACGCCAAAAGGCAGGGGTATGCCACCACTGCTCCCGTTGAACCCGGGCAGGTCCCTGAAGTGCGGGAAGAGCACCCCATCCACGCCATGCACCACCACCCCATCGCTGTCCATCACATCGGCCCGCACCACCTGCGCCACGTTCATGTCGCTGCCGGCCTCGGTCCTCGTGGCGCAGTCTGACCCCCATCCGTATGAGGGCCCTTTGACCCACGCGAAGAAATCCCCTCCACTCATGTTCATCCCGGGCACTCTCTGCGCCGCCCACTCCCCCATCCAGCCCCACCACCGCTGAACCTCTGTGCTCAAGTTGCCCCAGCTCGCCCCCATCCCCCCCCTCAACCCGCTCCAGACCATGCTCCCCCTGGCCCCCAGCTTCACCCCGCCCCCCATCTCGGCCCCCATGTTGTCCCCCGGGACGCGGTCCACCTGGGGTAGGGGGAGCGGGTCAATGGCATCGACCATTTGCACACTCGCAGAGCGGTTGGATGCGGTCGAGGAGCTGGCGGGCGACAGAGTAGAGAAGTTGCCTGCTAATACACTCATCGCCCAAATGACAGTTCCATTAGCGGTTGTTATGGTGCCGTTCGGGTAATAAAGGTTCTGGTTGGCGTCCACCTTACCGGCGCCCCTCGCGCCGTCAAAGTTGACGGTTCCGTTAGCGTCTACTGTGGTGCCGTTCGGGTAGTAGAGAGTCCCACGGACCCCCACGGCTTCCGCCGTATCCATCAGCGCGCGCTGCGCCGGCGAGTACGCGCAGAACTGCGTGGCCTTCTCGCTCGCGTTGTAGTTAATCCACAGCCCCTGCCCGTTCAGCGTCGTCAGGTTGTCGGGAACCTCCGCGTACTGCGCCGCGATGGCCGCCGCGTTGAGCGCCGCGGCCGTGGCCACGTGGAACGCGAGGAGGTCCGCCAGCGCCTTCAGCGCTTCGGGCCGCTCTTTCGCCAGCGCCGCCAGCGACGCGGGCGACCCGTCGCCAGCAAACACGGCGCTCAGCGCGGCGAGAAGCGGGTCGAGGCGCAACGGGTCGATGGACGTGTTGCGGCTGACGGGGAAAATGTCCAACTCATCAAATCTGGAGGTTGTCAGGTTCGGGCCGCCTGGCAGAAAAATGTTTGCTCCGGACGGTGACAAGTCTGCTTCGGGGACGCCACTGGCGGGAACCATCGCCACGCTCGCCCCGTCGCTACCAGAAGCGGCGCCTCCCGGAGGGCCTCCGGCGGCGGCAGCGGCGGCGGCATCCCCGGATGTCGACGTGGGGAGGCTGATCGTATCGGAGGCGTTCGCACTGCCTCCAGGGCTCACGCCGAGGGCAACAGGAGGGGGTCGGGGGATCTCGTCTTGGATGTAAGAGAGCGCGAGAGCGTGGAATGCGGCGCGCCACGCGGCGTCGGTGGGCGCGAATAGAGTGAGCGGCGCGAGGGCGGGCAGCTTCGCGAGCAGCCCCGTGGCGTTGAGCACGAGCAGCGACACGCGGAACGACTGCGCCGCCGACGACGCGCCCGACAGCGCCGCCGATATTGACGGCGCGGCGACGGCGGGGGGGGCGCCGCCGGCGGCACCCAAGGCGCGCAATGCGCACGTCGGCGCGCAGAGCGCGGCGGAGAGAACGAGGCACAGCGCTGCACGGAAGTGGCGCGAATTAAGGTCCCCGAAGAGAGGGACGGGACGAGCAGCGAACATGATCTTTGCTGGCGACGATAAGCGGATCTACGGCGGGGAGTAAAGCGACGGATGCTAGTACTACTGGTAGTAGTAAGAGCTGCGAGCCCGGCTCTGTTCTGGAAGCCATCTGGACGCAGGGTGAATTGATTTTTTTAAAAGGCACCCTCTCTCAGGCTTGGAAGATGACTCACCCTCCGTTGGATGACTAATCGGATGACGAGGACGTAGCAATCGTTTGCCTGTTTCGTTACAAGGCCCGGCAGGGGAATGATCATTGTCGCGTGGCTCGCGAAGTCGACGCCCTGCTGGCCCAACAAGTGCTATCGAGCAGGATTGTCGCTAAGGGTGATTCCGCAGCGAGTGTCAGACCCTCGGGTTTAGCGAGAAGACCCAAGGGTGGAAAAAAATTGCCGTGGGTCTAAGCGGAAACAAACGGCGCTTTTGCGAGAATTTGCCGCTGCTTCGTTGCTCCGCCGTCAGGTACATTAAACCTGCGGTTAGGGTGTGACAACCGGCGGCTCCTTCGGCCGCGGGTCGACCTCGGGTCTGACACACGCTGCACCCTAAGACTAGCGGATTTTATAATGAGACAAATTTGGCGACGCACACCCAGAGGCTGTTCGTTGGCCAATTTTACAGTGGTATGGAGAGGCAGTCCTGGCATGCGGAACATAAAACGAGGGTTCGTTGGGTCGCTGAAAGTTTGGTGCGACGCATGACGTCATCATGCGACGGTTTGGGTTTAGTTGGCGATTTCCAAACCTCAAACTCCCATGTCGCGTGCCTCTTCCCATTCCCCCCAAAAGCGTACAAAATTCGCCAGCCACAGCTCAGAGGCAAACTTCGTGCCATTCCCCCCACACAACTCGTACCACCAAGTTCGTGGTATGAAGCCAAGGGGGATCGGCATGGCACGTAGAGCTGGCCAGTGCACTCGCGTTTGATTGGCCAAATCGATTTTGAATGGTCGGGATCCTTTTTCGTAGAAGGTCTCCACCTCTGGGAGGTGTCACTGTACATCGTCGGCAAGTTTGTTTTACTCGTTTCTGCAAGCTTGACCGCTGACAACATTTAATTTGACTTCCGGTCCGCGCGGGCACAAATAAATTTATCGATTACGTTCGGCCACGTAACTTCTGTTCGCCCAGGAGACTGTCGCCTGTGCCACTCCTCGTGCTCGTTTCCCTTCCCGTAAAAGAAATCAGCGAGCGGCCCCCCAAGAAGAGCCTTCGCTATGACAAGGACGATCTAAGGTGTTTCTCCCTCCTACAATTTCCCAGGCAGGTCCAGAGAGTAGAAAACCCTCCCACTAAACTGGCTACACATTACCAGGTAATCAAACGGTTGTCGAGGGGTGGAAGGCGGGAGTAATTAAACACCGTTGACAGATTCCCCTCTACAGTGCGTGAAGTGCCCGAAGTATGGAATCTGGGAGGAGTGCCCTCAGGATGAGGAGTCGCACAAAACGGAAATCGTCAGGCGAACGAAAACAATCAACATCGTCCCAGGTCATAAGATGGAAATCAGCTGACAACTACCCGTAATAATGTCTACCATGAGAATAATTACCCTAATATTTAGAGCCCTGCTATCGAAATGGACTCTTGTTGGATTAGGAAACTTGAGAAAGGCGATAAGTGAGCACAGCTTCCTCCCGACATGCGCGAGAATCCGAGCGAGGGAGAAAATAGGGGAGTGGGGGGAAGCGATGCTAAACCCTAGGACTACAACATGCTCGCAGGGTTTGTCAGTTCTGCTCGTCCGAAGCAAGTATGATTTGGTTTTGTGCTACCCTGAAGTTTCTAGGTCTCGAAATGGTCCTTGACATTGTTCAACATTCTTTCTAGCACATACCCAATGCATCTGGATGCTGAACTGGTCTTTCATAAAATTGCAGAAGAGCCCTTAATTTCAGGGTTTAGGGGACAGGATAACCAAGGAGCCACAACTACTTTCATCCCTGCGTTGGTTGAGACGACCAAGTTCGGTCTCTCCATAACTAACAGGCCAGTCCCTGAAGGGGAGGGGAGAGTTTTAAAAACAAATTGCAGCGAGCAGTAGTTTCAGACAGTTGATCCAGCGAGCAGTTGGAAAACCGACCGAACAGAAACAGCCAAAACGGTGATTGTGGTTGGGCGTGGCACATTCCAATTTCCGTTCCTTTCGGAGGATCGCGGCTCGATCCAAAATATCGGACTTGTACGCGACATAGGCCGGACTACATTTGGCTCGAGCTGCGGCACAACTTGAGCCCTCAGTTTCGACAAGAATTTGCGATTTGGAGACAACATGCAAATGACGAATCGAGCCTACCTCGCATGTGACCGCCCGTCAAACCTGTCGATTTCCATCAGGTCGGCGAACGTGGGGCATGCCAAGCAGTCGCCCTATCGCATACTGCCGACGTGCGCCCATCGTGTTCCGGCGTTGACCATGTCAACCGCTTCGCTGCCGAGAAGACGTCACTATAGCTCACGTAATTCGTCGCTGCTCCGTTCGATCCGAGCTACCGGAACTCTAACGTCCGCAGATGGATCGCCGGCATGGAGATCTATTTCGCAGCCATCAGATGGAACTCACCGGTTTGGGATAGTCAGTCAGTGCGACTCGCGGCAACACTAATGCGAGGGCCAGCACTCGACTGGATCGACGGCAACAGTGCGTTCATCTACGGCGAAGCCACGTGGCAGCAGTTCTGCACCGACCTGCTGAAATGTTTCGAGCATATAAATTTGGTTTTCCTTGCTGGGGAAAAAAAATCACCCCCATCGACAATTCAGGAGTGTAGCATAGTAAACATTGCAGATGGAAAAATTAAAGCGAGATTAATTGAGGTTTTGAGAGGGGGTTGGGCGAAATTCACGAGAGTCACGAAACGCATCAAAGGAAGCGGGTTGGATGCGAGGGGCAATGAAGGCCTCTCGGACAAAGCCCAACCTCGCCCAGCATTAGAAGTGTCTCCAGCCAACCCGGGCGACGAATTGGCACTACGTGACGTCGCCCAGCCCACACTAGCACACCAAGTGCCAACATACGTGGTAAGAATACAAGGGAGCGCACTATGCTACAGTGAAAAACCGCTCCATGCACAAGATACTAAATTAAACAAAATGCAAGCATGTAATCAACCTACCAACCAACATTATACCACAAGTCAATATAAATGCATGGGCTTGCCAAAGTGTTCCAGCATTAGGGACTCTGGGAAACTGTACTACGAATATTACACGACGATTCAAGGGGGAAACATAGCGCGGAGAGCGTGGTACGGAGGGGAGGAGAGGGACGGAGCAGAGAGGAGGAGAGTGGGATACGGGGAGGTGGGGAGGGGGTAACGGACAGCAGGAGAGGAGGAAACGGAGAAGGGTAGAGCGGGAGATCGACACCCGACACCAACTAGGTTCCTAGAGAATGAGGGGATGTGCAAGCCTGTAAGAGAACCCGAGGGGACCGCCAGACAGGGAAGGCTGGTGGAGCTACGGGCAACTACCAGACCTGATGAGGGGTCAGCAAGTGCGATAACGGCAAGGGCGGCAAGAGGCGTGATCGAAGTGTGGTCGCGGAAGAAGCAGGCAGACGCTCCAGAGTCAAGCGTGAAGGAGAGCGAAACAGTAGCGTCCGCTGACGGAGGGGCCAGCGTGGAGCCTAGGCTAAACAATGCAGGGGGTCCTACGCCTAACGCAGCAGGGGAACCTAGACTATACACAGCGGACACACCTACGCTAGGAAACACCGGGTAATAGGGTCTAGTCACACTAGAGTCATCAGCATACATGGGATACAAAGCAGACCTAATCTGATACATGTCCATCTCAAAGACAGGCACACGACGACGCACCAGGCTGTACCAGTCGGAAGAGGTCGTCGAGGCGGCAGTAGCAGCGTGCGGCGGTGTGATCGGAGCGGTCATAGACGGTTCCGCGGAGGGGGCCGGACTGAAGCTGGTACTGGCAGGTGACCACACTGGAGCCACCACCCGACACCGAGCTGCGCCCCCCACCACCACCAGAACCGCCAGGCCACCACGGCGGCGAGGGCGCCCACGACGACTGCTGCTGCTGCTGCGACGACTGCTGTTGCTGCTGAGGCTGCTGCGGCTGCTGCCGCTGCTGAGGCTGCTGCTGCTGCTGCTGATGAGGCTACTGCTCCGGGGCACTAGCACCGGTCCCCTCGGCTGCACCACTGTCCCCTCCACCACCTCCGCCACCCTCGCCACCCCCGCCACCCGTCCCGCTGCCACGCCCCCCCCGGGCTCGGCGTCCCCTACCCTGACACGACTGCGCTGAGGCCGCCATAGCGGTCTCAGCAGCAGGGGCTGTCTCAGCAACAGCGGCAAAGGTGTTAGAGAAAGTGCATTGGGAGGAAGCACAACCCTAGAAGATAGGGACCGCTGCAGTACCGCTCGAGTGAGCGATAGTGCGCTGGCGAGTGTCTATCGCGGTCAGGGTAGTAACAAAGTCAGTGAGGGTGAGGTCACCACGGTGGAGGACAAGCAAGTGGTCGCGGGCAGTGGCTAGGCGGTCAGGAAGGCGCGTGGCAAGGAAATAGAGGGTAGCGTCGAAGGAGGGAGGCAGCACAAAAAGCTGAGCCTCAGTGCTAGCAGCGCGGTACCTAGTCTCTAGTGCGCGCAAGTGAGTGGCAAGATCAGCGACAGTGGAAAAAGACGTAAGGTCAGGGAAGAGTAGGGGGAGGAGGAGACGATCGGCAGAGGCGGAGGAGGGATTAGAATAGCGTGCCATAACAGTATCTAAACACGCCTGCGCAGTCTCTAGGGCCTGATAGCGGGGGCGCTCAGACTGGGGGAGGGCGCGACTGATAGCAAGCTGCGCAACTGCGTCACGCGACTCCCAGACGGAGCGAGCGAGTTAAGGAGCTGCAAAGGCCTCACGCTCAGCGGGCGTGGGGACGTCAGAGAGGGCAGCAGGCGGGTCGGGGCAGGGGATCTTATCGTCGACGTGAACGGCCAGAGACTGGCCATCCTGGCACTGTCCCCTCAACGAGCGGCGGAGGTCGGTGAGCCACGCCTCAAAGTCGATCGCCCGACCCTCCGCGTCCAGGAGGAGCACATCGTCCGCCATCGCCACGGCTGCAGCTGCTGACCGCCGCTAGGGGAGGGGGAAGAGAGGCCGGTGGAGAGCAGTGGTGGAGACGGCCGGCTGGAGAGCCGGCACAGAAGGGGGAACCAAGGCTGGCAGGTCGGGGCGGCACAGCAGCACGGCGGCTCGGCGATTCGGCAACTCGGCGACGCGGCGGCTCTGCTACTCGGCGACTCGGCTCCTCGGCGGCACGACGACGCGGCGGCACGACGACGCAGCGGCGCGGCTACTCGGCGGCTCGGCAGGTCGGCTACGCAGCGGCTCGGCGGCGCAGCGGTGCGGCGCGGCGCGGCTCGGCGGCGCAGCGGCTCGGCGACACGGCGCAGCGCGGCGTGTCGGGGCGGCACGGCACGGCGGCGCGGCGTGGCGCGGCAGCCGCGCGGTCGAGCGGGGCCGGCGCGACGGGACGGGGCTGGCGGGGCCGGACGGGGCCCGCACGGCGTGACGGGGTCGGCGTGGCGTGACGGGGCCGGCGCGGCGTGACGGGGCCGGCGCGGCGTAGCGGGGCCGGCGCGGCGTGACGGGGCTTGCGTGGCGTAGCGGGGCCGGCGCAGCGGGACGAGGCGGCACGGCGTGACGGGGCTGGCGCGTTCTAGCGGGGCCGGCGCAGCGAGATGGGGTCGAGGCAGAGTGACGGGCCGGCGTGGCTTGACGGGGTCAGCGCGGTCTAGCAGGACCGGCGCGGCGGGACAGGGCCGGCGCGGCGAGACGGGACTGGTGCGGCGGGACGGGGCCACCGCGGCGTGACGGGGCACGGGCTAGGGCGCGGATTAAGGCTAGGGCTAAGGCTAGGGGCGGAAGCGTAGGCGGGGAGGGGGGCCTAACCTAGCGTGATATCATGTTAGAATAACGCAATGATTAGAAGGAAGAGGGAACAAGGGGGTTTGGTTTGTACTCTCTAGGAACACACCTATTCTAGCCTTTAACTTTTACATGCAAATGTATGTATGAGTTGACAATCAAGCACTCTGTTACAAGGACTTAGCATTCTGAAAAGATCCTAGGGCTATTATCAACGCAACAAAAGGCTGCGGGGGTTTTGCGCCTGGGGGTAGACGGAGCAGCAGGAGTAGCGCGATATGAAATTCTTGGCAAGAGCTTTATTGATGATTCGCTTGGATTTCGGGTTTCTAGCTCTCGTAGTTATTGTACCAGCCTCACCCATTTTTCTACGGTAGGCTGTAAGTTCAAACCTGGGCAAAGTGGAGTCTTCCCTACAAGAGAGCAACCAACGAGAAGGCCATAACCACTAAGGAGGCGGTAGTGAGCGAGGCTGCTGACAACCCTGCACACAACGGATGGGAGATGGGATTTGGGATGGATGGGAGAGGCAGGGTTGAATCTCAAGTCAACATGGGAAAAAATGGATATTATTAGGGGGGCAGAGAGAAAGAGAACCACACAGTTGAAGGGGTATTGCTACTGCAGCCATAGTCGCACAAATGCATATGGGTATGCCACCACTCACGAACAGTCAACAGGGAGGCAAGAAAAATGGCATTCATGCTCCACACTCCCCTATGCAATCCCCACATCCCCTCCCCCATGCCCTCACCCAGGCCCTCCCCCATACACCCCCCCATGCTCACCAGCAGCGCCAGCCTTGTCCTGGGATCCACTGGGAGGCGGTGACCCAGCAGCCGCAGCTGAAGTCCCACCCGGTGTGCTCTTCCCCGAACTGTCCGCACTGCTGCCACTGCTGCTGCTGCTGCTGCTGCTAGTGTTGCTTGCTCCGCCACCAGCAGTGACGCCTGCACTGCCAGCAGCACCACCTGCTTCTTGGTCAGAAAGCGCCCCATCGGCAGTACCATTGGTAGCACCAGCGCCAGTGCCACTCGTGGTGCCATTGCCACCGTCACTAACTGACCCATTGGGAGCCATAATCGGAACGCTAATGGGCATAGGCACAGGCATGGGTGTTGAAATGGGCACCCCTCCCCCCTTCCCTTTGTCGAACACAGGCAGGTCCCTGAAGTGCGGGAAGAGCACCCCATCCACGCCATGCACCACCACCCCAGCGCTGTCCATCAGGTCGGCCCGCACCACCCGCGCCACGTTCATGTCGCTGCCGGCCTGCTTCCACATGCTGCCGGAGCCTGCCGCCCAGCCGTACGAGGACCCGTTGAGCCAGGCGAGGTAGTCGTCGGCGCTCACGTTCAGCCCGGGCACGGCCTGCGCCAGCCACGCCTCCACCTTCCCCCACCACTGCTGCTGCGCCTCCGCGCTCCAGTTGCCCCACTGGCCCCCCATGCCCGCCCCCCATCCCGCTCCGCCCCCCATTCCGCCTCCCCACATTCTCCCCATCCCGCCCCCCATGTCCACCGGAATGGGGTCCACCGGGGGGAGGGGGGGCAGTTCAGCGGGGACGGGATCGACCAGGGACGGTTCCAGCGTGCCGTTAGAAACGACTGTTCCGTTAGCGTTAACCACAGTGCCGTTCGTGTAGAGGACGTTCCCGTCGGAGTCCACCCATGCCTCGCTAGTCATGTCGGGAGGGTAGTCGTCGACGGTTTGACCAGGGTAGGGGGCGGTGCCGTTAGAAACAACCGTTCCGTTAGCGCTCACGATGGTGCCGTTGGCGTAGTAGACGTTTCCGTCGGAGTCCACCGATATCGGGCTCGTCGCGCTGTCAAAGATGACAGTTCCGTTAGCGGCGAGGACGGTGCCGTTCGGGTAGTAGACGGTTCCGTCATAGCCGACGCTGACGCCTTCGCTGATCAGCGCGCGCTGCCCCGGCGAGTATGCGTTGAGCAGCGCGGCCTTCTCGCTCGCGTTGTAGTTAATCCACAGCCCCTGCCCGTTCAGCGTCGTCAGGTTGCCAGGAACCTCCGCGTACTGCGCCGCGATGGCCGCCGCGTTGAGCGCCGCGGCCGTGGCCACGTGAAACGCGAGGAGGTCCGCCAGCGCCTTCAGCGCCTCGGGCGCCCAGCCCACACTAGCACACCAAGTGCCAACATACGTGGTAAGAATACAAGGGAGCGCACTATGCTACAGTGAAAAACCGCTCCATGCACAAGATACTAAATTAAACAAAATGCAAGCATGTAATCAACCTACCAACCAACATTATACCACAAGTCAATATAAATGCATGGGCTTGCCAAAGTGTTCCAGCATTAGGGACTCTGGGAAACTGTACTACGAATATTACACGACGATTCAAGGGGGAAACATAGCGCGGAGAGCGTGGTACGGAGGGGAGGAGAGGGACGGAGCAGAGAGGAGGAGAGTGGGATACGGGGAGGTGGGGAGGGGGTAACGGACAGCAGGAGAGGAGGAAACGGAGAAGGGTAGAGCGGGAGATCGACCCGGGGGAGGGCTGCGGTTGCGAGGATGGGAAGGAAGAATAGCGACGAGGGGGACAGGAGACGGGCGTCGAAAGGAAGGGCTGCAGGTGCGACTTGGCGAAGGAAGATGAACGCCGAGGGGAAGCGTGAAGGCGGGGAGGGCTGCACATGCGACGAGGGAAGGGAGATGGGCGAAGCGGGGATAGGAGATGGGCGACGCGGGGATGGGGGATGGGTGATGTGGGGAAGTGCGATTTGGGGGAGGGCTGCACGTGCGACGAGGAGGACGGAGGAGGTTGGCGAGGGGGAAGAAACTTGGGAGACGAGGGGATAGGAGATGGACCTTTGACGTGAATCCCCGCTGAGTGGCAAGGGGAAAGGCGGGGAGTGGCTCACTGGATATTCGTGTCAACATATATATATGCTTGTATGTAGAAGATATAGGCTAGATAGGTGTATGTTCTTAGAGGGTACAACTCCAACCCTATATCTCCCTTGTTCACACTTCTTTCTAGTCATTCTTGTATTCTAAGATGGTATCATCAGTAGGTTAGGTCCGCCCACCCGCTTCCGCCCCTAGCCCTAGCCTACCGCCCCGCCGGCCCCTAGCGCGCCCGCCGGACCCTAGCGTGCCTGTCGCCCCTAGCGTACCGCCGGCCCCTAGCGTGTCCGCCGCCCCTAGCGTACCCACCGGCCCCTAGCGTGCCCGCCACCCCCTTCACCGCCGCGCCGGCCTCTCATGTACCCCGCCAGCCCCTCGCGCCTAGCTGGCCCCTAGCGTACCTGCTGGCCCCTAGCGCGCAGCCGGCCCCTCGCGCACCTCGCCGGCCCCTCGCTACCCGCCGCCCCATAAGCGCCCCGCCGCCCCTTAAGCGCCCCGTCAACCCCTTGCACCTAGTCGGCCCCTCACGCACCCGCCTGGCCCACCGCGCGCTTCTCGCCGGCCCTTCGCGCTCGCCGACCCTTCACGCTCACCGGCCACTCACGCGCCCGCCGGCCCTTTGCGCCTCGGGCCCCTTCTCGGCCTTCCACCCGGTCTTCTTGTCGGAGAGTCCTGCTGATGTGCCGCCGTGTCGCTGAGTACCTGTGCCGCTGTGTTGTCATGCCGCTGTGTCGTCGTGCCGCCGTGCCGCTGTGCCGCCGTGACGTTGTGACGCTGTGCTACGGAGGTTTCACGATGGCGGACGCTGTGCTTCACCTGGATGTGGAGGGTCACGCGATCGACTTTGCCGCCTGGCTGGTCGATCTCCGCCGTCACCTGACAGGTCAGCGCCATGATGGGCACTCCCTGGCTATGCATGTTGATGGCTTGCTTCCCCGTCCCCCCGCGCCTGATCCCCTCCCTGCTGACCCCACCACGGCTGAGAGTGAGACCTTTGCTATTGCTGCGCTCGCTCGCGCTGTCTGGGGCTCTCGCGATGCTGTAGCGCAGCTCGCCATTATTCATGCGCTTCCTTTGTCTGAGCGTCCGCACTTTACTGCTGTCGAGAACGCCAAGGATTTCCTAGATCCGCACTTTACTGCTGTCGCAGTCGCCGCGACAGCAGCCGCCGGAGCAGCCGCCGCCGTCGCAGCACCAACAGCCGTTCGTGGCCTCTGGGGGTGCTGGAGTTGAGGAGGGTGCTAGTCCTCGGGTTCCTGTCGTGGCTTGTCCCAGCGGGCTCGGGGGTGACACCGGTGCTGGAGAGGGTGCTCGTTCTGGAGGTGCTAGAGTGGAGTGTTCCGGTGGTAGCCATGGTGCAGCTGGCGGTCTAGGTGTCGGCGTCAAGCAGCAGCAGCAGCAGTTGCCGCCGGTGTCCGCCCTTCGCCTGCTCGGCCTTCCCTCCCCTGACCGCTTGCCTGCGCCTCCCCCGCCGCCTTCTCCCCTACTTGTCCACAGTCATGTGTTTCCTCCGCTGGACTCCTCCCCAGCTCGTTTCTCTCTCCCGTTCAGCGTTCTCACCCTATGTTGCTTCGTTCCCACGCGTCTCGTGCTCCCCTTCTGCCTTCGCCTTCTCCGTTGTCGCTCGCTATCACGTCGCCCCCTCTGTCTGACTACCTTCGTGCTGCTCGTCCTCTAGTTCCTCGGGTCCTTGCCTCCCTCGTTACCGACCCGTCTGTTCCTATCTCGAGTCTTGACACCCTTATCGCTGCTATCGCAGACTTCGCCTCTACCTGCCGCCTTGAATACGCCACCACTCTGGTCTCTGACCCTGTCTGTCCTCGTCCGTCGGGGGTGCTCCTGCCCTTGGAAGAGACGTCCTAGAGGACAGGCAGTACAAGCTTGCTTTCCTGTCCGAGGCTGCTCCACATCTCTGTTCCATACTGCTAGTCCCTGAGGGTGACCCAGACGCCTTTGACATCCCGACCCCTCGCACTTACGCTGAGGCGATCTCGGAACCCTGGGCCTCTTAGTGGATAGCTACCATGGAGTAGGAAATGGCAACTTGGAGATCCACTGGCACCTACATCGACGCAGTTCCCCCACCTAAGGTGAACGTAGTTGATGGCCAATGGCTCTTCAAGGTGAAGCGCCCCCCTGGAGAGCCGTCTGTATTCAAGGCGCGCTACGTGACTAGAGGCTTCAGTCAGTGAGAGGGGGTGTACTTCTTTCAGACCTTCGCCCCGACCCCGAAGATGACTACTCTTTGGGCGCTGCTACACATACCAACACAGCGTGACTACGACTACGAGCTCCACTCCCTCGACTTCTCCATTGCTTTTCTTCAGGGCAGCCTACACGAGCACGTCTACCTGCGCCGTCCTAAGGGCTTCACCGGTACCTTCCCTCCTGGGACCCAGTGGCTCCTGCGGTGCCCAGTCTATTTCTGCGACAGGTGACCCATGAGTGGCACGACACGTTGCGTGCGACGCTAGTTGACCTGCAGTTCTTTCCGTCCTCTGGCCAGACTCCACTCTACATCCTTGTCTACGTAGCCGACCTGGTCTTCGCTACTGCAGACAGAGACGCGCTGGCCTCCATCAAGGCCGAGCTGCTGAGGAGAGGTGCACCGCTACCTTGGCCTGCAGATCTCCAGAGACAGAGCATCGCATACCATCGCTCTCACACAATCACACTTGGTGTGCCAGGTCCTTAAGAGGTTCGGTTTTCAGTTCTCCTCCGCACAACCCACACCTTTGCCAGTAGACCACAGGCTCTCAGCTCTAGTTCATGTGGAGTCAGTAGAGCCCAGTGGTCCTTACGCAGAGCTGGTGGGTTGCCTCATGTACCTGATGACTTGCACTCGTCCAGATCTCGCATACCGTCTCAGCATCCTGGCTCACTTTGTGGCCACAGGGAGATACCGACCGCAGCACTGGTCGGCCGCTAAGAGGGTTTTGCATTATCTAGCAAGTACATCGGGCATGGGGCTATTGCTGGGAGGACGCAGGCCAGTGGTCCTTACTGGGCACACAGGCGCTTTTTGGGCATACGACGCCGAGACCCTCAAGTCCTCCCAGGGCTACTGCTTTAGCCTTGGTTCGGGTGCCATCTCGTGGAGGTCCACTCGCTCCTCGTCTGTTGCCCAGTCTAGCTGTGAGGTTGAGATCTACGCCGGTGCCATGGTGGCACAGGAGCTCCGTTGGCTGACCTTCTTGCTCATCGACTTAGTTAAGTGGTCTAGCTCAGCCCTGGTACTGTACGCTGACAACTGGCCATGATCCTCCTATGTCAGGAGCCTCGACTTGAGGGCAGAGTGAAGCACATCCAGCTGCGGTACTTCCTCCTGCGCGAGCTACAGCAGCGTTGCTAAGCTCGCGTATTACACTTGTCCTCTGGTGCCAACACAGCTAATATCCTTAGTAAGGCGCTTGCGCCTAAAGATTATCAGCGGCACTGCCTTAGCTTGGCCTTGTTCGTGTAGACTCTCACTTGCTAGGACCTTGATTGTGTACTCCTCTATATTTATACCTTTTAGACAGGCCTTGTGGCTTCTCTGCTAGTTGCTGGACTAGTAGTGCCGCCCTGGTTTTCTCTTGTATTGTTTGTACTCTTGCTGACTAGTCTTCAGACCCCTGCCTCAGAGGTTGGACTAGTAGTGCCACCCTGAGCTGCGTGTTTCTTGCTCTGCACTACCCTTTATCTAGCCTAGGGGTTGTGTCATGTTATACATATGCTTGTATGTAGAAGTTATAGGCTACATAGGTGTATGTTCTTAGAGGGTACAACTCCAACCCTAGATCTCCCTTGTTCACACTTCTTTCTAGTCATTCTTGTATTCTAACAATTCGTTGCGACGCGAATGGTCCAGCACGTGCTCGAAATTCCCCAGGTCTTTCGGTTTCCGTCGGTAATGCCCGGAGCAAGTGAGAGATAGTTGCGTGCAATTCTGCTGGAGTTAATGCTCGAAAATGCCTCGGTGCTTGTGTGCTAGGGAGAGATACCTACGTGCAGTGGTATGCATCGCCAATAAGGCAAAAAATGAGATAGCATGGGCTGTTAATCGTGAGTTAATTCGTCGTTCTCCTATGCTACGGCCACCATGATCATGAGTCCCAAGTATATCCTAGGCACTTCGAGTCTTGATCCACCCTTCCGACGTTGCTGGTTGCACGTGCAGCGCTCCTAGTCGCACCCCAGCTGTGGCTGGGTGTTCGACGAATCACTTCTCGTCGTTCAAGGTTTACCTCTTGTCGCTGAATTTCAGGGTAACCTTGTGTACTCAGGCTAGGTTTCATGAGCGGCCAAGAATCAAAGACTTTGAGTCTTGATCATTCTTGGACCACGCACTTTAAAGTGAGGTCTCAAAACCCCCGAACACAAAAACTTAGGTTTTGAGAGGGGGGTTGGGCGAAATTCGCGAGAGTCACGAAATGCATCAAAGGAAGCGGCTTGGACACGAGGGGCAATGAAGGCCTCTCAAACAAAGCCCAACCTCGCCCGGCATGCGCAGTGTCTCCAGCCCTCCCAGGCGACGAATTGGCACTACGTGACGTCGCCCAGCCCACACTAGCACACCAAGTGCCAAAATACGTGGTAAGAACACAAGGGAGCGCACTATGCTACAGTGAAAAACCGCTCCATCCAGAAGATACTAAATTAAACAAAATGCAAGCATGTAATCAACCTACAAACCAACATTACACCACAAGTCAATATAAATGCATGGGCTTGCCAAAGTGTTCCAGCATTAGGGACTCTGGGAAACTGTACTACGAATATAACACGACGACTCAAATCCCTTTTTGTTAGCACATGGGCTTATAAATTCCATTTCAAAACATGCACCTGTGAATTCCCCTAAAATCCCTAAAATCAGATACACTCTGAAATTCGGGTGATTACAGAATCCCCTGCAAGAGTGTATCCGTGCTGTGAAAGGATGGGGGAAGGGGGAAATGGGAGGAGTATGGGATCAAGGGATGATGGGGAGATGGGCAGAGAGATGGGCAGGGAGTGAGAGAGAGGGAGAGAGAGAGACGAGCTCAAGAGATACTGAGATAGGCTTAGGGGCTGAGGGTGACTGCAGGGGGGAGGGGAGCAAGGTACTCAGGTTCAGAGTGGAAGGGAGTTGGGGTAAGGAGGAATAGGTGGAAGGAGGGGAAAGGTGGAAGGAGGGGAAGGCGGAAGAAGGGGAAGGGTAGCGCACCCAAAGGTCATGTCCCCAGGGCAGCCATGCCCGCCCTGGAACCAACAAAAGGGGGGTGAGAAGGGAATCAGGGAGAGGAAAGGGAGGAAATGGAAGGCATGAGGGGGTGGAACAAAGAGGAAGGGGTGAGAACTGGAGCAGGGACGAGGAACGAAAGCAGGGGGAGAATGGGAGGGGGAACAATGAAAGCAGGGGGAGAATGAGAGGGGGATCAATGAAAGCAGGGGGGGAATGGGAGGGGGATCAATGAAAGCAGGGGGGGAATGGGAAGGGGAGCAATGAAAGCAGGGGGAGAATGGGAGAGGATCAATGAAAGCAGGGGGAGAATGGGAGGGGGATCAATGAAAGCAGGGGGGGAATGGGAGGGGATCAATGAAAGCAGGGGGAGAATGGGAGGGGGAGCAATGAAAGCAGGGGGAGAATGGGAGGGGGATCAATGAAAGCAGGGGGGGAATGGGAGGGGGATCAATGAAAGCAGGGGGAGAATGAGAGGGGGAGCAATGAAAGAAGGGGGGGAATGGGAGGGGATCAATGAAATCAGGGGGGGAATGGGAGGGGATCAATGAAAGCAGGGGGGGAATGGGAGGAGGAGCAATGAAATCAGGGGGAGAATGGGAGGGGATCAAAGAAAGAAGGGGGAGAATGGGAGGGGGATCAATGAAAGCAGGGGGGGAATGGGAGGGGATCAATGACAGCAGGGGGGGAATGGGAGGAGGAGCAATGAAAGCAGGGGGAGAATGGGAGGGGATCAAAGAAAGAAGGGGGAGAATGGGAGGGGGATCAATGAAAGCAGGGGGGGAATGGGAGGGGAACAATGAAAGCAGGGGGAGAATGGGAGGGCGAGCAATGAAAGCAGGGGGAGAATGGGAGGGGGATCAATGAAAGCAGGGGGGGAATGGGAGGGGGATCAATGAAAGCAGGGAGAGAATGGGAGGGGATCAATGAAAGCAGGGGGAGAATGGGAGGGGGATCAATGAAAGCAGGGAGGGAATGGGAGGGGATCAATGAAAGCAGGGGGAGAATGGGAGGGGGGTCAATGAAAGCAGGGGGAGAATGGGAGGGCGAGCAGGGGGGAATGGGAGGGGATCAATGAAAGCAGGGGGAGAATGGGAGGGGGATCAATGAAAGCAGGGGGAGAATGGGAGGGGGAGCAATGAAAGCAGGGGGGGAATGGGAGGGGGATCAATGAAAGGAGGGGGGGAATGGGAGGGGGATCAATGAAAGCAGGGGGAGAATGGGAGGGGGGTCAATGAAAGCAGGGGGAGAATGGGAGGGCGAGCAGGGGGGAATGGGAGGGGAATCAATGAAAGCAGGGGGGGAATGGGGGGGGGGATCAATGAAAGCAGGGGGAGAATGGGAGGGGGAGCAATGAAGCAGGGGGGGAATGGGAGGGGGAGCAATGAAAGCAGGGGGAGAATGGGAGAGGATCAATGAAAGCAGGGGGAGAATGGGAGGGGGATCAATGAAAGCAGGGGGAGAATGGGAGGGGGAGCAATGAAAGCAGGGGGGGAATGGGAGGGGGATCAATGAAAGCAGGGGGAGAATGGGAGGGGGATCAATGAAAGCAGGGGGAGAATGGGAGGGGGAGCAATGAAAGCAGGGGGGGAATGGGAGGGGGATCAATGAAAGCAGGGGGAGAATGTGAGGGGGATCAATGAAAGCAGGGGGGGAATGGGAGGGGGATCAATGAAAGCAGGGGGAGAATGGGAGGGGGATCAATGAAAGCAGGGGGAGAATGGGAGGGGGATCAATGAAAGCAGGGGGGGAATGGGAGGGGGATCAATGAAAGCAGGGGGAGAATGGGAGGGGGAGCAATGAAAGCAGGGGGAGAATGGGAGGGGGATCAATGAAAGCAGGGGGGGAATGGGAGGGGGATCAATGAAAGCAGGGGGGAATGGGAGGGGGATCAATGAAAGCAGGGGAGAATGGGAGGGGGAGCAATGAAAGCAGGGGGGGGGAATGGGAGGGGGATCAATGAAAGCAGGGGGGGGAATGGGAGGGGATCAATGAAAGCAGGGGAGGAATGGGAGGGGATCAATGAAAGGAGGGGGGGAATGGGAGGGGGATCAATGAAAGGAGGGGGGGGGAATGGGAGGGGATCAATGAAAGCAGGGGGGGAATGGGAGGGGGAGCAATGAAAGCAGGGGGAGAATGGGAGGGGGATCAATGAAAGCAGGGGGAGAATGGGAGGGGGAGCAATGAAAGCAGGGGGGGAATGGGAGGGGGAGCAATGAAAGCAGGGGGAGAGTGGGAGGGGGATCAATGAAAGCAGGGGGGAATGGGAGGGGGATCAATGAAAGCAGGGGGGGAATGGGAGGGGGATCAATGAAAGCAGGGGGAGAATGGGAGGGGGATCAATGAAAGCAGGGGGGGAATGGGAGGGGATCAATGAAAGCAGGGGGAGAATGGGAGGTGGAGCAATGAAAGCAGGGGGAGAATGGGAGGAGGATCAATGAAAGCAGGGGGAGAATGGGAGGGGGAGCAATGAAAGCAGGGGGAGAATGGGAGGGGATCAATGAAAGCAGGGGGGGAATGGGAGGGGGATCAATGAAAGCAGGGGAGAATGGGAGGGGGATCAATGAAGCAGGGGGAGAATGGGAGGGGATCAATGAAAGCAGGGGGAGAATGGGAGGGGGAGCAATGAAAGCAGGGGGAGAATGGGAGGGGATCAATGAAAGCAGGGGGAGAATGGGAGGGGGATCAATGAAAGCAGGGGGGGAATGGAGGGGATCAATGAAAGCAGGGGGAGAATGGGAGGGGGAGCAATGAAAGCAGGGGGAGAATGGGAGGGGAGCAATGAAAGCAGGGGAGAATGGGAGGGGGAGCAATGAAAGCAGGGGGAGAATGGGAGGGGGATCAATGAAAGCAGGGGGGAATGGGAGGGGATCAATGAAAGCAGGGGAGAATGGGAGGGGGATCAATGAAAGCAGGGGGAGAATGGGAGGGGGGATCAATGAAAGCAGGGGGAGAATGGGAGGGGATCAATGAAAGCAGGGGGAGAATGGGAGGGGATCAATGAAAGCAAGGGGGGAATGGGAGGGGATCAATGAAAGCAGGGGGGGGAATGGGAGGGGGAATCAAGCAGGGGGGGAATGGGAGGGGATCAATGAAAGCAGGGGGAGGAATGGGAGGGGGGATCAATGAAAGCAGGGGGAGAATGGGAGGGGAGCAATGAAAGCAGGGGGAGAATGGGAGGGGATCAATGAAAGCAGGGGGAGAATGGGAGGGGGATCAATGAAAGCAGGGGGAGAATGGAGGGGATCAATGAAAGCAGGGGGGGAGAATGCGGAGGAGGATCAATGAAAGCAGGGGGGAATGGGAGGGATCAATGAAAGCAGGGGAGAATGGGAGGGGATCAATGAAAGCAGGGAGGAGAATGGGAGGGGGAAATGCAATGTAAAAGCAGGGGGAGAATGGGAGGGGGATCAATGAAAGCAGGGGAGGAATGGGAGGGGGATCAATGAAAGCAGGGAGGGAATGAATGGGAGGGGGATCAATGAAAGCAGGGGGAGAATGGGAGGGGGATCAATGAAAGCAGGGGGGAATGGGAGGGGGATCAATGAAAGCAGGGGGGGAATGGGAGGGGATCAATGAAAGCAGAAGGGAATGGGGGGTCATGAAGCAGGGGGGAATGGGAGGGGGATCAATGAAAGCAGGGGAGAATGGGAGGGGAGCAATGAAAGCAGGGGGGAATGGGAGGGGGATCAATGAAAGCAGGGGGGAATGGGAGGGGATCAATGAAAGCAGGGGGAATGGGAGGGGGATCAATGAAAGCAGGGGGGAATGGGAGGGGGATCAATGAAAGCAGGGGGGAATGGGAGGGGATCAATGAAAGCAGGGGGGAATGGGAGGGGATCAATGAAAGCAGGGGGAGAATGGGAGGGGATCAATGAAAGCAGGGGGAGAATGGGAGGGGATCAATGAAAGCAGGGGAGAATGGGAGGGGGATCAATGAAAGCAGGGGGAGAATGGGAGGGGATCAATGAAAGCAGGGGGGAATGGGAGGGGGATCAATGAAAGCAGGGGAGAATGGGAGGGGGATCAATGAAAGCAGGGGGAGAATGGGAGGGGGATCAATGAAAGCAGGGGGAGAATGGGAGGGGGATCAATGAAAGCAGGGGGAGAATGGGAGGGGGATCAATGAAAGCAGGGGGGAATGGGAGGGGGATCAATGAAAGCAGGGGGAGAATGGGAGGGGGATCAATGAAAGCAGGGGGGAATGGGAGGGGGATCAATGAAAGCAGGGGGGAATGGGAGGGGGATCAATGAAAGCAGGGGGAGAATGGGAGGGGGATCAATGAAAGCAGGGGGGAATGGGAGGGGGATCAATGAAAGCAGGGGGGAATGGGAGGGGGATCAATGAAAGCAGGGGGAGAATGGGAGGGGATCAATGAAAGCAGGGGGGAATGGGAGGGGGATCAATGAAAGCAGGGGGAGAATGGGAGGGGGATCAATGAAAGCAGGGGGAGAATGGGAGGGGGATCAATGAAAGCAGGGGGGAATGGGAGGGGGATCAATGAAAGCAGGGGGGGAAATGGGGGAGGGGGATCAATGAAAGCAGGGGGGGAATGGGAGGGGGATCAATGAAAGCAGGGGGAGAATGGGAGGGGATCAATGAAAGCAGGGGGAGAATGGGAGGGGGATCAATGAAAGCAGGGGGGAATGGGAGGGGGATCAATGAAAGCAGGGGGAGAATGGGAGGGGATCAATGAAAGCAGGGGAGAATGGGAGGGGGAGCAATGAAAGCAGGGGGGAATGGGAGGGGAGCAATGAAATCAGGGGGGAATGGGAGGGGGATCAATGAAAGCAGGGGGGGAATGGGAGGGGGATCAATGAAAGCAGGGGGGTGGGAGGGGATCAATGAAGAGGGGGGAATGAGGGGATCAATGAAAGCAGGGGGGAATGGGAGGGGGAGCAATGAAAGCAGGGGGAGGGGGGGCGAGCAGGGGGAATGGGAGGGGAGCAATGAAAGCAGGGGGAGAATGGGAGGGGGATCAATGAAAGCAGGGGGAGAATGGGAGGGGATCAATGAAAGCAGGGGGGAATGGGAGGGGGAGCAATGAAAGCAGGGGGAGAATGGGAGGGGGATCAATGAAAGCAGGGGGGAATGGGGAGGAGGGGGATCAATGAAAGCAGGGGGGGAATGGAGGGGGATCAATGAAAGCAGGGGGAGAATGGGAGGGGGATCAATGAAAGCAGGGGGAGAATGGGAGGGGAGCAATGAAAGCAGGGGGGAATGGGAGGGGGATCAATGAAAGCAGGGGGAGAATGGAGGGGATCAATGAAAGCAGGGGGGGAATGGGAGGGGGATCAATGAAACAGGGGGAAAGGGAGGGGATCAATGAAAGCAGGGGGAGAATGGGAGGGGATCAATGAAAGCAGGGGGGAGAATGGGAAGGGGGAGCAATGAAAGCAGGGGGAGAATGGGAGGGGGATCAATGAAAGCAGGGGGGAGAATGGGAGGGGATCAATGAAAGCAGGGGGAATGGGAGGGGATCAATGAAAGCAGGGGGAGAATGGGAGGGGGATCAATGAAAGCAGGGGGGATGGGGAGAATGGGAGGGGATCAATGAAAGGCAGGGGGGAATGGGAGGGGGTCAATGAAAGCAGGGGGAGAATGGGGAGGGGATCAATGAAAGCAGGGGGGAGAATGGGAGGGGGTCAATGAAAGCAGGGGGAGAATGGGAGGGGAGCAATGGGGGGAATGGGAGGGGGATCAATGAAAGCAGGGGGAGAATGGGAGGGGGATCAATGAAAGCAGGGGGGAATGGGGGGGGATCAATGAAAGCAGGGGGAGAATGGGAGGGGGATCAATGAAAGCTGGGGGGGAATGGGAGGGGGAGCAATGA